CTGATTTTGATAGCTTTATTCAAGTCCCTAGGATCGATACAAATTCTTATGGAATTACTTTTTGGTTTTCTTACTAAAACTATGGAGTTGACCCAATCTGTAGGTTCATCAACTTTCTCAATTATTCCATTTTTCTCCATTTCTGCTAGTTCTAGTTTTAGTTTTTCTTTTAATAGTAGTGGAATCTTTCTTGGAGGATGTATAACTGGTTGTGCATTTTCAGTTAGCACGATTTTGTATGGCTCATCCAAGCACCCGATACCTGAAAAAACATCATTAAATTTCTGTTTCACATCAGAATAATCTTTTTTAAATGTAAATTCACTAGAATTCAAATTATTTTCACTTTTTTCAATTGTATTTATTCTTTTTAATATATTTAATTCTTTACATGTAGGAAGACCTATTACTGTTGGTGATTTAACCTCTACCACATAAAAAGTTATATTGTATATATTATTTTTATATTTGCATTCTAAATTACATTTTCCTATGACTCTAAGTGTCTCATTTGAAAATGTGGTTAATCTGCAATTCGTTTTTTGTAATTGAACATTAACTTCCAGTGAATTTAATTTATTTATTGAAATTACATTTGCCATTGCCCCTGTATCTAACCTACAGCTTAATTTATTATTGTTTACTTTAAAATCTATCATGAAATCATCATCGACACTACCAGTTTCAACATTTACTAGGCCTAAAAACAATTCATCTAATTCTGAATCATCTGCATTTAAATATTTTATTTGTTTTTGATAACAAACTTTGGCATAATGCCCAATTTTATTACAGAAATTACACTTAGCTTTGTATGCTTTGCAGGGTTGGCCTTGGTGATCCATTCCACATCTGCTGCACCCTGAACTGCTTCCAAATTTCTTGCTCGACTGGCTGCTTTGGGCCCTTGAATAGGTTGGATTTCTTTTGTCTTCCCTCTGGACTTTTGGATATTTTTTGTTGAAATTTCCTTTCTTTATGTAATTTACCTCCTCTGTCTTCCTTATTTTCTCAGACTGGAGTTTCGAACTTTCGATACTTTTGCATAGATTGATTGCTTTCTCCAAGCTCATCTCATCTTCCTCTAGTAGTCGCTGTCTAATATTTTCATCTGCTACCCCACACGTTATGCATGTCTTGATCAGACCGTCCTCTAAATCTTTGAGTTCACAGTTACTTGCCTTATTAATTAGATCTGTGATGAATTTATCTACACTCTCTCCCTCTTCTTGTTTCCTGGTGAAAAGACAGTATCTTGCATTTGATATGTTGCTTTTTGGCTTGAAGTGTGCTTCAAATTTCTTAATTAGCGGCTCCAGCTTATCTTTTTCCTCTGTTGAGAACTTAAAAGTATTGTAAATTTTGAACCCTTCGTCTCCTATCAATTGCAAGAGTTGTGCACATTGGGTAATTTCTGGCTTTTTGGTGAGTTCAGTAGCTTGTAGATAGTTTTTGAATTTTTGGATAAAAAACTTCCAGTTTTCGTAAAGGTTGCCTGCCATCTGCATGCTGGTTATGGCCGGTCTTGATTCCATTTTTGCTTTATGTCATCCACCACTGAATTGCTAATTTAAGCTCGATGTTTTTCTTAAGACGTTTAAATTCACCGTTTTATTATTATATTTTTTACTTTTCCCTGTTTTATTCTGTTAGTTTCGGCACCATGTTATGTTGTATTCAACATTAAGTAGGGTATGTATGGGAATGAAAATAATACACTCACTTTCGTGTCTCGATTCAGAATGCCGTTTATTCCCTTTTACAGGATTGTCAAGTGTCACATCAAGTGTCATGTCACTCTGAGAGTGTGTTCCGAATCCTAACTACATTTACATATATCACAGGTAAAAAGTCGATCCACTCCTGATTTCACTGAATTTCCACTTACTTACTTGGCTATTATGTCACTGTGCTTGCTTATATCTTAATGTAAACCACACCTTATGATGGCGGACACTTTGCACAACACAACAATATGACTTTTATTAAGGCAGCAGCATTTTGATAGAAAACCATATTGATTTACTGATCTCACTGAACGAACTAATAATGATGTCGAAAAGTAAAAATAAATACCAATTTGTTCTTGTACGTATAGTTACACTGAGCTCTTCAACGATCTTGAACATCATTCAGATAAGCTAGTAAAAGTGAGACTCTACCAAATGCTGACATTCTAATCTAATCTGCAACAAGGTACAGAGAATGTGCTCTGCTAGAAGGGTTTGAATTTCCTTGTGAAGAATAATCCACTCCATGGGTGACATTTTTCTCAATGTAGTAAGGAATTATTGTTGACATAACAGCCTATATGCCCTGACCATTTATTTATGTTCAGCAATATCTGACTATCTTCTGACTTCAAGAAAATAAATAGATGCCTATTGTGATATTGCAAATTTCCAGTAGATTCTGCATTACCTTCTGAGGTTGATCACCAAACTGAAATTTCTGTGAGAACCCTACAGTAAAACTTCAACCCATAATTATGGGTTTTTGTTCCAGTTGTCTTGTTTATTCTTTACATTTTTAAAGAGATTTTTAATGACGAATTATTTGATTTTCTTATTATCTCCATCAAGCAGGTTCGGAAGCCTCTTTTATAATTGAATTTTTTGAACATTTGGACCAATCCTTTGGTGTATTTTATTCTATTCTGGATCATAGTCACATTTGATACTGCACAATCATTTAATAAGCATATTGATAATGTAACTTCCTCCTGTCGTATGTATAGATTATTTGCATGTAACAGTAGTGATTTTAATGAAACTTTGACCTTAAAAAGTCTGTTCTATGCTTTCGTAAGATCAAAGTTAGAATACATTTCAGTTGCGTGGAGCCCCTTTTATCAGTATCATTTATATAGAATAGAAGGCATTCAACGACAATTTTTAAAACCGCTAAGCCTAAAAACTGATGGCCTATATCCACCAATACTCCGAATTACTACAAAAGCATAACTTTCAGTCTCGAAAAAATGTGTGAGTGTTATATGTAGTCTTATTGTTAAGTGTAGTGTAGCATATAAAGTTATCAAAAGCATAGTTGACCGCCCATTATTGGAAATGTTCGATATTGGCATTTCTAGAATCTGTTCCAGACACCTGACTACTTTTTATATGCAAACATCTCGCACAAATGTTTTGGAGAATTCTCCGCTCCATACCATGTGTTAAGTGACAAAGTCTGTTAGCGATGATCATGTATTTAGTTGCAAGTTGTCAGATATAAAATTCCACTTTCTAAAATAATTTTTTTGTCACCTATTATGAAATATAAATTGTGTATATGCTAAAAATTAATTGGCGCTCCGGGGCGACTTCATTGATTCCAGTGGCGCATTTGCTTTTTCAGCTGCAGGAAAACCCGGAAAAACCTGATATATTTGTGGCACATCACGACACAATAATATAATTCCGGCTTAACTCATTGTAAATGATGAAGTGTTACCTTCTTAGATGTTCTGTTTCATAGGCGAGATAAGTCTAGTGAGGAATGATATTCGAAATAGGTTATACATTACTGGTGCTTGATATTCATATGAGTGCTCCATTATATTCTGTTAATTCCTACTCTGTAATTGGGCTTTGTCCTATAGAGTATTGTAAAATAAATAAATAAATCATGGGAGAACTATAAATCTTGAGTCTTTGAATTTTGAAAAAGTCAAGGATTTACGAAGATGATCTCCAAATTTTCGTTTTCTTTTCAACTTATTAACTATGTTTTTCTCAATATATCTTTCTTTGCTCAAGGATAACGCGACCAATCTATAGACAAGAAAATGTAGTCCCGCTATTTTATGTTGTGGGTAATAGTGAAAGCTGTCGAGGATATATCTGAAACTGTTAAAATTCTTCCTTAAGCCGGAATTACATCATTATTGTGGTGTGTTGTGATGCTCCCTGACGTGACTGCGAGTGTGCAGACTATTCTATCGTGTCGGGGCGCGCTCTGAAGTTATTTCGAGCCAATACAGTGGTGGCCTTTGGAGTAAACGCATGCGAGCATCTACAATGCTTTCCTCCGATTCGAATAGTGATATTCAGGAAAACCTTGCGTGCCTGCTAATGTAAAGTTTACTTAAAAAGAAAAGAAAAGAGAGAAACTATTGGGTTCATCCAATAAATGATCTTAGAGGTAGTCGAAGCGAATTATCATTTACTAGTGATGAAGAAAGATTTCATTAATATTTCAGGATGTCAAAAAATCAATTTGGGTAGAGTATTATAGAAAATTATATTAAAAAAATGCAAACTCGTATTTTCTAACAAGTTCAATAAGTTCGTCCGACATCTTGTGCAAAAATAAATGCAAACGACTATTCTCTAGCTAGTTAACGCGTCAGATTAAAAACATACTAGTTTGGAGTGTTCTGACGCGTCAAAACCTCACCATCGTTCTGACGCCAATCGGGAATCGGCCGATCGCCGTCCCGACACACTGCACTTTAGTAATATAATTCTAATACTAAATGTATGGTTGTGATTTACTTGTGGCGCGTCACGACACACCACGAGACAATAATATAATTCTGGCTTAACTTATTGTAAATAATGAAGTGATACTTTCTTGGATGTTCTGTTTCATAGGCCAGAGAAGTATAGTAAGGAATGTTCAAAATTGTTGGGACCGGTTTTTGGATGAAATCTATAACAGTGGCAAAAGTCCTATTTCAAAAAGCCCTTTATTTACTCTTACATAATAATTACAGTAGGAAATAGGTTAAGATTAGGTAACATAAAAGATAGTTATTGGCATCGGGTATAATACCAATATAACACAATAATTTATACTAGGAATTGACCATCCAGGTGTATATAAAAATATCAAGATATTTATAAATAATTCAGTTTTAGTCGCCTCTTGATGATGCTTACTTGGCTACTGAAACGGGCATAGACAGACAGTAGTTTGTTGTGGTGTGGAACATGTTTTTAAATAGATTAATTTTATGCCCAGAGGTTTCGGTTCCACTTGTCAAATAATGAAATTGAAATGTACGAGAATATACATTTTCCTTTGTCCTACAGGGGTGTAGTATTCTGGTCACCACTTATTCTATGATAACTCACACTCAACGGAGGTCTTGGGAGGCTGAACAGACCATGAAATGGCTCCAAGAGCAAGAATGGGGTATAATGATTCTTGACGAGGTACACACCATCCCAGCCAAGATGTTCAGGAGAGTACTGACAATCGTTCAGTCTCACTGCAAGCTGGGACTCACCGCTACCTTACTGAGAGAAGATGATAAGATTGCAGATTTGAATTTCTTAATTGGACCTAAACTGTATGAGGCGAATTGGTTGGAGTTGCAGAAGAGAGGTGAGAAGACTGTAGCAAAACAGGTTATAATTGATGAACAACACATACACATACTTTTTCAAGGTATTTTATATAGTTCACCATGGGAGTCCATTGGCAAAATGTCATTCAGCTGTGAACACACAAGTATTGTGACAATACTTGTGTGTTCTTTTCGGTCAGTTGATTGTAATCTCTCACAACTCTCATTTTTTTAAAGTTTGTTTTACTCTTAGAATAGTAAGTACACCTGAATCATTCTTTCACTTCCTATGTTAAATGGATAACATTGATAAAAAGAGAATCAAATTACCATTTTCTTCGCTTGAAAATAACAACTTTTAAGTGGGCAAAGTAACCTTTGTCATCGAATATGACAGCAGAACTGCAAAATATTATTGTTGATTTACGTTTTGAACCAACTTTAATAATGAATTGCAGTTTTTTTCAATGTTTTTTGGTGAATTACATCAAAGAATTACATCAAATGGTATGTGAAATATGTATGTAATATGTGTCTACTAACAATGAAGTCACAAAAAACAAGTATAAACAACTTAAATACCTATATGAAGAGCTAATAAAAAAAACTAAAACAGAGTACAATAATAAACAAATTTTGAATGCAAGTAATATAAACAAGGAGTGCTGGAAAATTATTAATGAAACTAGAAATATCACAAAAACTAGAAATTCAATAGAACTTACCATCAACAATGATACAATAACAGATAGGGAAGCAATTGGTAATCACTACAATGACTTCTTTATAAATATTGAGAAAATCGAGCCAAAAAAAGATATAAAATTAGCATCATTTTTTAACAATAGTTTATTTCTATACTCAATAACCCCAGTAGAGGTTCAAGAGATTATAAAAAAAACAACAAAAACGCCTACTCAGGTGTAGATGACATACATGGGAAAACCTTGAGGGCTGTCAGTGACATTATATGTCATATCCTATCATACATTATAGACAAATCATTCTATAAAGGGATTCATCCCGATGCTCTCAAAATATCAATCTGTCCCTATCTATAAAAACAAAGGATCCAAAAATGAAGTAAACAACTACAGAAACGAATGTTTGCAACCACAATTAGCAAAAATAATTGATTATAGCTACTATATGAGATTGAGTGAATTCAATGAACATCAAAAACTTATTCCTGATTGCCAGCACGGCCTTTGGCAGAAAAGATCAACATCTTCTGTGACAAATGAACTCTATGATCACATATATATGAACCTTCAGAATTTTTACATACCATTTTAACTATACAGGTTTTTTTAGAACTCTGGTAGCAAACTCTGTTATTCAGTGCAATAATAGAAACTAATTGGGTATAGGATCCTATGCCAAAAAAGTTTCCCAGTCCTATGATCCTTTGAAATAGTTATATGCAGAAGACAGTTATGACTTTTTCCTTTACAGTAATTACTTGAAATGTATTTATATTCTTTTTAGTTTTTGCCACGTTTTGTTTTTTTTTTTTTCAGTTCACTTTTATCTCACATTTTTGAACATTCTGTACAGGAAACTGTCCTTCAACATATAATTTCAAAAATATTAAAAATACTAATTATTTTTTAAGGTTATATTGCTCGAGTCCAGTGTGCAGAAGTATGGTGCCCAATGACTCCAGAATTTTATAGAGAATATTTAGTTTGTAAAACCAGTAAACGTTTACTCCTTTATGTGATGAATCCCAGCAAATTCAGGGCCACTCAGTACCTCGTAAGGTATCATGAGAGGAGGGGAGATAAGACCATAGTATTCTCTGATAATGTATTTGCTCTGAAACATTATGCCATAAAAATGAACAAACCCTACATTTATGGACCTACCTCTCAGGGAGAGAGAATACAAATCCTGCAAAACTTCAAATTCAATCCAAAGGTAAAAATCCTAATGAAAAATACCGTAACAGGTGTATTTTTTATGAAAGCGAGAATGTAGTATAATTTTTAATTTCTCTTTAAGTTGAGATGAATATTTACAAGGAAATTTTCATAATAAGATGTTCTCTGTACAACTTGTGTTATTAGTAAGGTCACACACCTTAATTTCTGATGTGTTTTTATTATTATTAGACATTCTGCCTGTAATATTCCACAATGTTCATAGCATAGCTGTATTATTTTTCTCATCTTTTAGCCGAGATTAACCCAAGTTGAATGTGTTTTGTATTTTTTATGTGTTATGTGTTGTATATTATAATTATATTCTGACAAACTCTATTCAATTGTACGTAATTATCTTTTTTGTGCTAAATAAAGGATCAATATATTTATATGAAAATTTTTATTACACTGGCTGTCTTATGCTTTTTAGTCAAAGTCTATGAATATAACTATAATAAAGGACTCAGTAAATATGTTGATAAGCTAAACGAGTTTAGTTGCAATAGATTTACCATGACCGCTTCATATTAAGTAATAATCATGATACACAATACCCTGAGTAGTAAAGAACAAATAATGGGAATATTCTTTGATATGAGCGGGTCATTTGACATGATTACTCATGACACATTAGAGAACTAAATATTTCAAATGGGAGTTCTTGACTGTTTCCCAATATTTATAGTTCATTTTTAAAATAGGTGAACACAATCTTTGTCAGTAAAGTAGCAGATACATCCTTTGATCTTCCTGAGGCTAACGTCCTGATACAAATATCTTCGCATGGGGGTTCCAGAAGGCAAGAGGCTCAAAGGTTAGGCCGTATTTTGCGTGCCAAGAAAGGAGCAATAGCTGAAGAGTACAATGCATTCTTTTATACTCTGGTATCCCAGGATACTATGGAAATGAATTATTCTAGGTAAATATTTCTTGTACAAAATGCTGTCTCTTCACGAGTGTTTCGCTAAACATGTTAGCATCAAGATATATCTGAGACTACTCCTTAGAAGCTATATTAATGTTTTTATATGCATCTTCGCGAATCATGAACTTGCATAATGAGGGTCCATTAATTGATTCCTATTGTTTTGATCCTCATTATGTAAGGTAATGATTCGTGTAGATGCATATTTTGAATGCTCAGGATATATCTTCAGTTTTAGTAAATGTAATCTAATAGCATCAGTCTTGACTTTACCTCAGTTTTGTAGAACCATTTATATTTGAATTGCATATGATGTTTAGAGAAGTTTCAAAATAAATTGAAAACAGGTATATTTCTGGGAGAGATAATTTTTTTTTTGTATGGAGATGAGAAATGCAAGCCAAGAAGCCTTTTTCTTCAAAATAAATTCGTGCAATCTGCAGGATTCAAACTGGGGTTACAAGTAGCAGCACTAGGGGGTGTCGAGCAGGGCAACTGCTCAGGTTCTCGCTCTTGTAGGGGTCTTTTCCTTATAGGAAAAGTTGACATTCAAAACTTTATTTTATGGCAATAATTGATACAGTGAAATAAGTCTAGCTCATTTCTCAAACTCTGAAGCACCTGCGGTGCTAGACTGAACCATGATGTACTGCTGGATTCAACTGTCCTTAAAGGACAAACCTGAGAAAGTAAAGGCAATGATATTTGCCATATGAAGACACTATCTATGGGAACAATAGAAAACTTGATTCAGAAATATTAAAGCAGGTTTCCTAAAGCTGTCCTCTGCTAAGCCAAACACTAAAAGAAGTTGAAAAATTGAACAAATTTAAATTTCCCTTTTCGCCCGCTACAATTTCTGTGTGCAGCACTGTTTTGTTAGTCACTAATTGCATTTCATCAGCTTTCAATCTCATATGACAGGTTAAGTCATTTCCGCCAAAAGTTATTCGCTATCTCTTCTCTATGTTTTTGTTCGATATCTTGCAAAAAAGTTTCAACAATATAAATTTGTTGCCACTTTAGACAAGGTTGATATTTATTGAAATCAACTTTTTGCAACTGCAAGTTTTTGAAACTTTTGTATTCTTCAAACCTCTATTCATTATTTTCATGCTTTGTATTAGACTGTTATCCATCTTGTTTCAGAAAGAGACAGCGGTTTTTGGTAAATCAAGGGTACAGTTATAAGGTAATTACCAAGTTGGCTGGTATGGATGAGGAGCCTGACTTGTTGTATAAGACTAGAGAAGAGCAGGGCCAACTGTTACAGCAGGTATTAGCTGAAAATCAATCTAATATATTTATGTGATTTTCATGATGTTGGTGTTTACTGAATTATGTACTTGAATACAGTGAAAACCTCTAAAAAATGATTAATAATTTCAGGTATTGGCAGCTAGCGATATTGACTGTGAAGACGAACGAATGCCTGGAGAAAGTGGTCCTAAAGGCTCAGCTGTTAGAAGAGTAGGAAATATGGGATCTATGTCTGGAGCTGACGACGCTGTTTATTATGAATATAGAAAATCAAACAATTTGAATAAGCATCCACTTTTCAAGAAATTCAGATATTGACAAAGATGTGTTGTGATTAGGGCTTTTTTTAATTTAACAGGGTTAAATAACAGGGTTATCATAATTTCGATCTATGTGAAGGAGTGGTAGAAAAACCCATATATTCGATAAAAACCATGAATAAACAAAAAATAGATAGTTGATTTTTTTTTGTGTACTATGGATAGGAAATTGAATGAATGAATTTTATTAATCCCAAAAAATATTACATGTTCATAGTATGGACAATGTAACATACAAATGAAAAAAAAATAAGAATATTACGACAAATAAAAATAAACAAAAAAATAAATAAAAATATGTGAAACTGTCAATCTATTTCAAGATATATTCTTTTAGTTTTCGTATAATTGAATTTTTAAATTTGGTTATATATGTCATATGCCATATATATGGTTATATATGTCAGAATGCCTTGAATATTTGTTTTTAATTACAATTTATTGAAAATATATAAAAGTGTAGAAAGGGCAGGCAACTGAGTTTATCCTAAAAAGTAGTGGCTCTAATATAAACGTTCTTTCAATGAGAAAACCATGAAAATTGATAATAATATGATGATAAGTATATTTAATTGTCCAATGAAAATTAGCAAACTTGTGTTATTTCTAAATTTCCCTTCAACAAAATAGTTGAAAAAGTAAACATAGACTTTTTCACAACCATATACATTCTCATCTCAAGTATTTAAATTAAACAATTTCAAATGAAATGTCGGGTATAAAGATGAAAAAACTGTATGGGTGTATCTAATTTATTGATGGCAAAGCATCCAACTATTTTGCGAGACATTTACACATTCACGACTCTATATTTTTCAAAAATATGAACCCTGATTTTAGTGACCTACAGGGCAGTTTTTTAGCTGACCTCGCTATAGCTATCTCGGAAATGGTGAGACCTACAAGGTCAGTTGAGTTGAATAAAAGTTTCCTATTTTGGGGAACTAGGGTAATCTCTTTCAGATCGAGAATATCAGTTGTTGAAATATTCGCCAAAAACTAGAATTGTCGAATTTCATTTCTTTGCTCTACTGCCTCCATTTTGAATTATAAAAAAAATGCAGAGGAACTTTCTATATTGTTTTGAATTTGTTATATGATATGAACCAATATGCAATGCGACATTTCATTCATTAGATATGTCATCAACTTTATTTTTTTAATACGGGCATGTAATACATAGCTGACTTGTTATTTTAGAGTGGCTACAAAAATCGATGAAAAAAACTAGGGATCCGTATTTTGAAAAATTAGGTTGGTGATGAAACATCGCCAACCAACAAAATATAGTAAAACACATGTAATATACGAAGAGCTTTCAAAAATTTGATTTTGAGACCATAATAAAGTACACTTACTTTCGAAAATCCTGATAAGTGTTAATTAGATCAGCACCAAAAAATTTTCAAATGTCATATAAGTGACGTTTTATTTCTTTACCCATTTTTTTAAATGCGGACTAGAAAACAAAAAAAAAAATGCCAAAACGATAAATAGGCAACATTTTGTATACTTATATCGGTTCATTTGAAAAGCCTGTAATTAACAAATTACACAACTATTGTGTTCACCATGGCCAATTTTTTTGAAGAGGAATACTTTTCAGTTTTTGGTACAGTTATTTTAATTTTCTGTTAACAACGAAAATTACTCTGAATCATAAATTATTCATTGGTATTCAATTGTATCAAAACACAAAACATCAAAATAAAATAATTATTTTGGTACAAATTCATTACGTTTGTTTTGTGGAGATTTTCTGGTCCAAAATAATTCTCACAAATAAATCTTCACTTAGTTAGCCATAACTTCAAACCTAGATGTATGTCATAATGCTGAAGAACTTTTCTAATCAACATTTTTTGAAATCTTTTAAAATAAGGGTACTTAACCCTCGTCTAGAAATCAAATTTTTTATGGTATGTTACATATGTTGTGTTGGTGTATGTTTAGTTACAGGATGCACAAACTTTTACCAAGAATAACTATCAGAAAACCCTTAATGAATAATGGTTTATGTTAGGTAGAAACTTTTCAGGGTGAAGTTTTCAATTTGTTCTTTATTATATTTGAAAATATTCTCTATTGATTTCATTTATTTTTCAGATTATGAAAGAAATACCCCAAAAACAACCAGAAACATAGACATGTTCGGTTTTATTTTTGATTTGTTTTACATTTTTCATCGTATCATATAATTCAGTTGAGACCTTTAAAAGTATCTGGTCTCTTTTATGCAATATAATGATTTTAACAATTCTTATACAGTAATTTCTGTGCTGGATGAGTTATTTTTAATGAATATCTGATGATTTCCCAATCAAAATATATTTAATGAAATCTTAATAAATAGACCTGAATTTCAGCCCGTTTATAAAATTTTAGAATGCCTCACGAAAAATTTCACTCTGAAAAAATTAATATGCATGAAAACATTGTTTGATTTTTTTCTCAATAAAAAATATTGTAATTTATATTTTAGTAGTCATATTTACGATTGATTCAATTTTGTTTCAATTGTACACACCTCAGCAACTTTTGTTGCTTTATAAAGCTCAGACCAGACCTTTGGAGTATTGTTCCTTGTACCGAGCTTCGCCCCCGAGCAAACCCTGAAGCTGCTGGATTTCATCCAGAAAAAAGCCATCCGCCTGATTGGAGATCCGAACGTCACTGGCAACCTTGATAGTTTGGAACATCGAAAAAAGGTTGAAGATTTGACTCTTCTATAGATACTTTCATAGCAAGTGTTCAAGTGACTTGGCACATTTCATTATACCAAGAGCGATACATATCAGAAATATGCGACGGACTGTGGCTGCTACTCGTTTTGAAGTTCAGCTCAGTACACCTCGAACTTCACTGTTCAAGAACTCTTTCATTTGAAGATCTGCGTTTATGTGGAATGAACTTCCTGAGAATGTTTTCCAAATGAATTTAGTCTCCAGCGATTCAAATCCAACGTGAATCGCTACTTTTGCACAGGCACCGCTCTTAGAGCACCTTAAGAATTTTTCTGTAGTGCTTGTGTTTTTCCTTTAAAAAAAGTATTATCAAATGCAAAAAATAATTCTTTTCATTTGATGAACTTTTAACACATTTTCGCAGTAGGAAAAAGTCAGCAGATATAAAAATGGTTGACGCATCCCTGGGAACATCTACATAGGAACTTGCATGTAACATGATTTCTTAAATGCAACTTTTTGGATCCACATAAAAACTATTTTCAAATTCATTCTATTAAAGATTAATTGTTCCATGAAAATAATTTTGAAAGGATATTAAATTATTTATTCTTTTTTTTTATTTTCAAACTACTCAAGAAGTTTTTGAAAATATGTTGATTTATGAGAAATAATACAATAAACAAAATAATGAACAATAATACAATAAACTTATTGTATTAGTATGAAAACGTCCTTGTAGGACGAAACTCCAGTAACATTAATTACAAATAAAAGTGGTAAAAAAACATTGAAAGTATTATTTTTCATGATGATCTCCTACAACGTATTAGCGGCTACATCCATCAATTTATATTAATTTATGGAATTTTAACAACTATACTACTAACTGTTAACTATTTCTTTTTTTTAGACCTTCAGAGGGCGCCTCAGAAGAATGGGCCATAATTGAACTTCAGGGCGACATAAAATCACATACGGATTCCAATTTTGAGGGAAAGTATATTGGTGATCTGCATTTTACTAAATCTGGTACACCTCTTCTCATTATTGGCCATCACCTTATGTATGGAAAAGAAGCGAAACTAGAAAAACCATTTGCCCTCTTACAAAAAAAGCGAAAGGAAGATAATACGGAGTATTTGGTGAAATCCATCATAAGAAATAAAATCATTTTCAAAACTCGACCCAAACCTATTGTTGGAAAACATAATTAGTATGCATTTCTGAAGTATCATTTTTATGTGTCAAAAATGACTTTTTTTTCAATAATGAAGATCTGAAAACGAAAATGATTTTGACGTATCTCTGGGATAGATGAATAAAAAATTTGGTACATTATTCTCTTACATCATATCCAAAGATGACAATTTGAACAAGATGAACATTTTAAAAATATAAAGAGGTCATTTGATGTGAATAAATTCACTAGACCTGTTTAAGGAATGGAAATAAGCATGTATCTGTATTCATATTTCAAATAAATCCTAAAATTTAGTTTTCGAAACTGAGTTTATATTATCGTTTCCTTCTTCTGGAAATAATAATAGCTTACCAAACCCATTCGATCAAAATGTGTGCAATTCCTTAATTATTTAAAATAAAATTCCTCGACCCACAATCTCGGGATTTTTCCAATTATTATACAAGTCATTTTTATTCAAATTTATTTAAATTTTCCAGTACAATATATATGAATTAAGTCATAAACATATGCCAAAACCATTACAAATTGTGAAATACACCTAGGCATCAGAATGCCTGTTTGTGCTGTTTCACTCCACTCTTAGTTGGAATATCATTTTATGGTACATGTTTATGTAATTCAAACAAAACATTTATTTTCTTTGTCAATTCAGAACATAAAGAGTGACAGTAAATTAAAATAGGGGTGAAGGGTCGGAAAAAAAAGTAAACTGAAAGTTACCTCCATCACTAGGTAATGAGTTATTGGTAAATCATTTCAGTATATCAGAATTCTCTAATATATATGCTTTTTGACAGCATATTTGAATTCTTTAATTTTTGAGATTGTTTTAACTTTCCTAGGATATAATTTAAGCCTGAAAAAAAGAGGATCTTTGCGTATGGGATTTTGGGGTTCTAACATTTATTTATTTATTTAACGGGTAGTCCCAATTACAATTTGTTATAAAAAAATAATTTGTAATAATAAATACATATCACAATAATAATAATATGATATATAGTATAAAAATAAAGCAATGTAATGATGAAATAGTATAGAATATTCAAAGAAAATGTTTCAGGAAATGATGCGACTCAGTTCAATTTTTATGGTATTTGTGGAGCTGCTAAATCTGTTGATACATATTTCCATTTCTGAGCATTCGAGTGACAGGAGAGAAAAAACCATAATTTGTGGAGTGGAACGGTATTTTAAATGTTTCGGTACTGGCTCTGGTATGTCTGTTGACATTCGAATTAATTAAAGATAAGATCTCCTCACAGTTGATGTTGCCAGTTAAAATTTTGCTTAAAAAACATACATCTAAAATAATTCTTCTATTCTTTAAAGATAATAGATTCATCTGATCTCTATTGTTGTTGTATGCATATTCTCCCCTTCTTAGACCTAACTTGTATGCACAGATCCTCAGGAAAGTGTTTTGTACAGCTTTAATTTGGTTTATGTGTATTTCATAATATGGGCACCAAATTATTGAAGCGTACTCCAATAATGATCTAACTAATAAACAATATAATAACTTGAGAGTGTTCAAACTGAATTCCTCACATGATCTATTGATGAAGCCCAACATCTTGAGCGATTTAGCTATAATATACTCATTATGAGATTTGAAGTTCAATTCACGATCGAACATAATTCCTAAGTCCTTTATCACCGATTTCCTATTAATTGGTATATTATTGATACTGTAGTCATGTAGAACAGGGTGAATAATTCTAGAAAGTGTTTGGCAGAAACATTTGGATATATTCAAATTCATTTAATTCATAACACACCATATATAAAATTGTGACAAATCTTCTTGCAAGAGTGAGTGAGACATCGTTTGTAGAAGAAATTAATTTGAATATTTTTACGTCATCAGCGAAAATTAGTACCTCACTATGTTATAATTGTAGCTAGATCATTAATAAATAGGTTGAATAGCAAAGGTCCACAGTGGGAACCCTGAGGAACACCCAAAGGAACAGGAATTGTGGATGATACACAGCCTCCTATTTTAACTATATGGCTTCTACCAGATAAGAAACTGTGGATCCATTGCAAGATTGGTCCATAAAAACCTAACGAAGGCAGTTTGGCAATAAGCAAGCATCTTGGTTCACCCTATCAAATGCTTTAGAAAAATCTGCATAGATAGAGTCGACCTGTAATCTTTTCTCCAAAGCACCTAAATATGTAATTTTCATAAACAAGTAGGTTCGTCACAGTTGATTTATTACCAACAAATCCATGTTGCTGTGGAGATATTAGACCTTTGCATTGCCAAGTCATATTCCTGTTTACTAAAAAGTCAAAAAGTTTGGGTATTTCTGATTGGGTACAAACAGCTCTGTAATTGTTAATATCATCTTTTGCCCCTGATTTATGTATAGGTTTAAGAAAGCTTTGTTTCCAAAAATCTGGGAAAATACCAGAGCTAAGAGATAAATTAAAAAGTTGAGTAAGTTTAAGTTATCTTATCGGAAAATCTAGATTTTTTAAAAGTTGTCGCTGTATATATTTTTGAATTTGAAAACATCCAAATCAAACACTGGTAGCAGTAGTGTACTCTAACATTCAGTACTTTGGTTTCTTGATGAATTTTTTGGGTCGAGAATCGTCTACCTTTTTTCGAATTCTGCATGACTTGTAGAGGATTTATCAAAGTATACCGTAATACAATATCGTAATATACCTTCTGCCAGTGAGGTGTATACCTGGATCAGGTTTTTCTGTGACAGAATGTCTCTGAGCATATAAAACTTATACATGAGAAGCCTAGTCATTTCATGATATTTGCAATGTGGTCATCCCATCTGACCTGTTGGTCGATAGTAACTCTCCCAAATACTTAATCGATGAACAGTTACATGTAGTTTTGTTGTTGCCTAGTGGTTTGTGTATTTTCAGAGTGTCGATCTCTGAAAATCAGCACTGTGTCATCTGCATAACAAATAATGTGCCCACAAAAACCACTGATTTGTGAAATACTGTTGATGTATGTCAGAAACAGAATTGGGCCCAAAACTGTACTCTGAGGCACACCAACAGAACTGAGTTTTTCCCCTATGTTAACCTTTTGTGTTCTCTGTGACAAATAATTTCGCATTAATTCCAAACTGTGCCCTCGTATTCCGTACCCAAAATGTTTCTCCAACAACACATCATGTGAGACGGTGTCGAAAGCTTTTGTAGCTTTTGTTAGATCAAGAAAAACAGCCAAACATTTCGACGATTCATCCATTATTTCTATTGTGTTCTACAAAATCTAAAACAGCGTTTTGAATAAACCCAAAATGTCTTGTCAGTTATAACATGGTGCTTGTTAAGAAACTTAAGTAATCCTTTATTGACCGATTGTTGAAAAATTTTTGCAAAATTATGTATCACAGAGATTGGTCTATAATTCTTCGTTTCGTGTCTGTTGCCAGCCTTGTAAAATGGTATAACTCTTGACTCTCTCCATTTGTTGGGTAGGTTCCCATTTTTGTAGCATAAATTTATTAGATGTACAAGCGGTTTCAAAATATCGATTGAGTTTAGAGGTAATTCCATCTGGACCTGGTGCACAATTATTTTTGAATCTACCTCATTTTCATCAATGGGTTGTAGTAACATTGTGGCAGCAATCGATAGTTCTTTCAAACAATTGTCTGGTAAATAACATTTATCAATTTGGCTAGATTTGCCGAGTCATATTTTTGTAAAATAATCATTAAAAGAATCACCTTTTGTTTTATTTTCATTTATGGGAATACCATTTTCTCCAGTTATGTTTGTTTTCATTTGATTTGGTATTTGATATTTCGTTCATGATTTTCCATGTACAAAATCCATTACCTTCATCTAGTTTATTTCGTGATATTGGTTTTTCATCATTCTGATTAGTTTGTTGACCATATTTCTATATTGTTTGTATTGTTGCTCAAGGTCGTGAAAATATTTGTTAAGCAGTTTGTTTATAAGGTGGCTCTTTTTTTTGATAGAATTAATTAACCCTTCAGTTATCCATGGTTTTAATTTTTGGTTTTTATTATTATTCACTATAACAGTTTTTAATAGATTAAACTTTGAGAACTCCGGATTTAATCCTTTATTATCTGAATGGTTCTGAAACAGTCAAAATCAGTCGCATAGTGGAGACTTGAAACGTTTTGCGGGAATCTATCCTGAAAAATCAGCTGTGTAGAATCGTCCCAATCCGAACTAGATTTTTCGGAATATATTAACACAACCCTCAAACACCAAGTCAATGGATCAATAGGTATATGTGCATTTCCTTAATTTAAATATTTTGCTTTCAAGCAAAATGTAACCGTACCGTTGCAACAATAAGGAAACGAAAAAAGCGAAGAGAAAATTTACGAAAACAAAGCTAATTCGGTTGAATTGTGAATACTCAAAGTTTTGTTTCCTAACAGTAAAAACAGGTTCAATTGTAATTTGAAAATGAAGTTATACCGACATATATGAAATGCCGTATGCTCTTAACAAATTTTATGTGGGTAGTATAAATAACATTATTTCCACAATATATAGAATGTGTTGATGACATAGAAATTACAGAATTCATTTCTAGAAACATGGGGATTCGTTTTTCGATGGCATTTCAGGTTAGCTTCCCAAATTTCTGCTACCGCAGTTGTCAGTTGATTGGTCAAACCACCAACATTGACATACCAAAAGCACCAAAACTCAACGCACAGATGAAGATACATAAGGAAAATAAACCTATAAGACCGGTTATCAATTTCACCAAAGCACCTTCATACAAAATTTCAAAAATCATAGCCGACGAACTGAAAAACAAAATCAACAGGAACAACGATCACAGCATCAAAAATTCAATGGAACTCACAGACAGAATCTCAACGACAAATGTCAGCCCGAACACTAAACTGTTCTCGTTCGACATAAAAAACAGGTACTCCAACATACCAGTCAACGAAAGTATAAACATCATATCTGAGAAAATGAAACACCAAAATATAGACAAAACCTACATTCACCAAATGGAACACAGTCTAAATACAATACTAAATTCATAAACAAATAGACGGACTAGCGATGGGATCCCCACTATCTACCATTATATCCGAAATATACCTGCAAACCATAGATGAGAAAATCTTAACAATAATAAAAACACATGATGAAAAAGGAGAATGGTTCAGATACGTTTGACGATGGACTGTACATATCACAAAACAATGGAATAAGAATAGATCAAATGAAAAAAGAAATTAACGAAATAAATCAAAAATTATGTTTCAGCATTGAGGAAGAACACAACTCAAAACTTAACTACCTGG